AGTTTGAACTGGACCGCCCATTTGTTGATGAACAAATATAAGGCTTAAACAACTCAAAATTTTTTCATTTAAACCTCAAAATCAATTTGACTCTTCTTTAATTAACCACAAGGGTAATCAAAGATGTTTTCAGAAAGGGTGTGGTTTGTATAGAGCCGAGGCTCTAACAATCAAAGTACAACATACATTCAAATAGTGTCGAGAAATGTGGTTTCAATACTGAAAATCTTTGTGATAGCCTCAAAATATTTTTTTATATTTAATTATAAAATTTAAAGCTTATAAAATAGTGTAGATCGAGTAGATCTATGAAAAATTGAAAATTTTGAAAATTGTCGGTCTAAAAATACATTAGAAGATGCCTTATTTCTAAAACTTGAAATCCATTTTTTTCTCATGTCCATGCATCTTGATGTCGAGATGATCAATTTGAGGATATTTGGGCATCAAAACAACCTCTTCTAGTGAAATTTCTAAGGTAGGATCTAATTTGATTGTTTAGAGCCTAAGCTCTATATAAACTTTTACCTTTCAGAAATATCATAACAAATTCTGCCAGATGCACAATTTGGTTTAGTGGCACCAGTTTATATATAAATATAAAAAGTTCCGTGAATTGGTGCTTTAACCATTACAACCACGCGATCGAGGACCCCCAAAACTCCGTAAATCCATTATCTTATATAATGTTTTGATGGAGGATTTGGAGTTTGAGCTCTAGAAATATCTTTTCTTGACTGTCACGTCAACATCTATTCTAAAACTTCTATTTGAATGAAATGCCACATTGAACACATTCAGAGTGTTTTAGAAGCTCCAAAACCCATATTGGGTGATGGGAATGGATTTGCAGGTAGTTTGATTGGTTTTGGGTTGCCAATGCATGTAAGATGGATTATGAAGTGGGCAACTGCTCTAATCGCATGCAGATGAACTGCAAACCCCACTCATACCCTACTTGAAAGAGGCATGGGAAGTGCTCATATATATTGTATTCTTTGTATAAGAATAACTAGATGTGGGGCTAGGCAACAAGCAATGCCATTGTGCACCTTACAATGGGAAGACATCAGATTGTCCTATCCTTTTTGAGTTTGAGAACATAAAATGCTAATGTGCATTATTATAATCTTATGCTGCCAAGTAAAAGCACAACACCACAGTGGAAATACTTTTTAACCGTTAAAAAATTGGTAAAAAGCCATCAGAAATGGACCTTGCCCAAATAATGACACCAGCATGCCAAGTCCTACATAATCCTCAAAGCTGAGTACACACTAACTGTCCCCAATGCACAACTGATCCATTCTAATGCCCTGCCTCCGTAGCCTCGCTACCTTACATCACTCCACAAGATATTGTTAGTCCTTCATCAAGTTAAAGGGAAATTTAAATATATTGATCCCCCAATAAGACCTATTGCTAAAAGACAATAATTTTTTTTGCATGTATGAATGCTTCCTATATATCCCTACCCATAATAGTTTACCTATATCCTGGATCTCCTAGCCATTTGATCTGAATGGATGGCCAAGATAGCTTCAACCATAGTGCCATGGGTACGCCACTAATTGTGTGATCTAAATTTGATGTCTTCAATTAATTTAATTTTAATATTTTCTTTATAAATCTTATGAACATGAAATTTGGTGAGCGTCTTCATCTCAATGGGGTTCACCTAAAAAAATATATTTAAAAAATATTTTCAGGGGTATATATATATATATAAGAAAAAACTGGGATTAGCCTATTAGCTCATATGAACATATGAGCCCAATGACCCAGATTAAAAATGGGCCGATCTGACGGTCACGACCTTATTTCGTATTTGAACTTTAATGTTTTTTCTACAAATCCAAGTCACTTGAAATTTTAGGCGTGTGTTCTTTTCATCAAAGCACACCTAACTAAAAAT